TAAGTTGTTAACATAAAATTTTAATTAATTATTTTGTAAAACATATACGAAAAATTAGTAAAAATTAAAAAAACATATTGGTAATGTAAACAAGTGAGAAAAAATGTAAAATTAGTATAATTTAGCATAAAATAGTTATAAATTATTGTAATACATTAAAAAGAGTTATAATAATTTTAAACATAATGGAAAGTAAGAACAATTATAATAATATAATATTGTAATGTAAATAATTATATTAGTAATATAAAATTGTAATTAATTATTATTTTGCAAATAGCTAAGGAAAATAACTATAAATTAAAAAATAAATTGGTAATTTAAACAAGTGAGAACAAACATAAAAGTAGTATAATTTGGTGTAAAATAGTTATGAAGTATCTTAACACATTAAAAAAGAGTTACGGCAATTTTGAATATAATGGAAAGTAAAAACAACAGTGAGAAGATATTATTGTAAAGTAAATAATTATATTGACAATGTAAAATTTTAATTAATTATTATTCCTCTAAATATATTAGAAAAATAGCTAAAATTTTAAAAATAAAATTAATAACATAAATAAGGAAGAAGTAAAGCAAAATTAGTATCATTTTGAGTAAAATGGATTAGAAGTATCGTAACATGTTAAAAAAAGTTATAACAATTTTAAACATAATCAAAAGTAAGAACAATCGTAAAAGTATATTATTATAATGTAAATAATTATGATAATAATGTAAAATTTTAATTAATTATTATTTTTTGCAAGTATATTACAAAAACTAAAATTTTTAAAACAAATAGGTAATGTAAATAAGTGAAAAAAAATGTAAAAATGGTATCATTTGGTGTAAAATGGGTAAAAAAATGTCATAATAGACAAAAAAGAATTATGACAATTCTAAAATTGTTGAAATGTAAGAACAATCTTACAAAAATTTTATTATAATATAAATAATTAAGTAGGTAACAAAAATTTTAATTAATTATTGTTCTTGTAGATATATAATAAAAATATCCAATAAATAATAAAAAATTTTGGCAACTTAAACATACAAGAAAAAAATGTAAAATTTGTATCATTTGACGTAAAATGTGTAAAAAATAATTAATATAATAAAAAAAAAGTTAAGACAATTTTAAATATAACAAAAAATAAGAACAATTATAAGAAAACGTTATTGTAATGTAAATAATTAAATAAATAATGTAAAATTTTAATTAATTATTATTTTTATAAATATATAAGAAAAATAGGTAATAAATAATAAAAATTTTACTAATGTAAATAAGTGGAAAGAATAGTAAAAATTTTCTTATATTTGAAAGACATTATTATATCATTTTTTGTCTTAAAAATTTATTAACATAAATATTTATGTAATAATTTTATTTTCCACTATGTAGTAAAAATATTTGTGTAGTAGTAAAAAATGTCACATCTTGATTTAAACTATCTATGAAAGAAAATCATACAATTAAAATGGTACAATGGTAACTTTTTATTAGTTTTGAATTAATCCTTATTTTAAAATGCTAAAACATTAAGTTAAATAAGTTGATTAAGATTTTGAAAAAGATTTATTTAGTATATATTTTTAAGTTTTATTATTTTTGGTATTAAATAAATAATATATTTTTCAAAGTGATATTTGATTTGAAAAATATCTTAAAAGTTGTAAGATATTGGTGTTGTTTATATCAAAAATACAAAATTTCAAAATTGATAATTCTTTGTAAAATATTTTTTAAAGTTTCAATAAATTTTTTTTTATGTTTTTGTATTTTTCAAACCAAAATTATCTTTAAAAATTATTTATTTAAGCTTAAATGAAAGTTTAATTGTTGTTTTTAAAGTGAATTTATTAATCTTAGACTTAGTATAATTTTGATAATATCGGTTTTAAAAAATGAATTAACTTAAGAAAGTTGTTTTGTAATAATAAAATTTTTCAACATTAAATTTGTTTTATTTTTCTATATTGATTTACAAAGTTTTAAGTTTGAATTTTTATATGGATGAAAAGTTTTTTAAGTCTACTTTTTAATAGATCAAATAAAATCAAATTTTAAATTTTTTAAAAAAAAATTTTGAATTTTTGTTAGAGACTATACAAGTTATCTAACAACTGTATAAGGGATAATTTTAAAAATTCATTATAATTTTTATACATTGAATCGGATAATGAATTTTATATAGATAAAAATTATCTTAAGTCTAGTTTTTAAATATTTAATTGGATCATGATTTGGAGTTGGATAACTCAATATATGAGTAAATTAGTAAGTATAGTATAAAACAAGATTTAGTTTTACAGCTTCAGAGTGCAGTATTCATCCAAAATGACCTTGTATGTAAAATCAATTTAACTAGATCGATTTTCTATCAAAATAGATTGATCCTTTCTCTTATAATGATTAAAATTTGAATGAAATTCAAGAATCAATTGATCTCCTAATAGATCAATTGATCTTCTAATGGACTTGATCGATCATTTACTTCTAACAACTTTTAATGATTACTTTAAAAGGAGAAAAGTATGCATTTTCATTTCCCATTATTTTTCAAGATCTAAAAGCTCTTTTTTTTTTTTTTTTTTTATAATTGGGCATTCCAACACACTTGTGAAGTAAGAGAGCAAACATCAACAAGCCTTACATTCATTTTCTAAAAAATTCTAAAGTATTTTAAAGATTAGAGCTTTAATTTTTTTCATTCTTATATTCAAATTATATTTATTTTTCATTTATCACTTTTTGTATTTAAATTAAGCAAACACTTAATTTTTTATAGGTATTTTATAGTTTGCAAATTTTTTTTTATTCAAAAAGGATTTTTGAGTTAAGGGATAAGGTATTCACTTGAGTGAAATTAATAGGATTTAGTAGAATCTTATAAAAGAGTAGAGGTTGCTATATTGACTTTGAAATATAGGAATTGTATTTTTTAAGAGATTTTTTCAAGTAGTGGATTCAGTTTGGCTAGAAGAGCTAAGAAAAAGGATGTAAGTACCTTTAAAGAATGATCGAATTTTTATAAATTTTTGTATTTGATTTCTCTATTATTATCTTTTATTTTATTTTTATTTATATGTGCTTTAATTTTCTTTATTATTGTTAATGTTATTAAATTTTCATCAAAGATTTTATTCTTTTAAATTTTCATTTAAATTTATTGAAGGCCAATTTTGGAAAAGAATTTGAAGATAATTCAATTCACTCATTTCTTGGATTGTTATCTACACTTGAGGTAACACTTTAATTTTTACGATTTATGTTAATAAAATTTTAGGACTAGAAAGACAAATCATACAAAATAAAATCATAAAATATATAACACAAATAACTAAAAAATAATTTTAAAATTAAAAAAATAAAAAACTATTAAGATGAATACTAAAATTTCTATTAATTATTGTTGTAGTATTGTTATTTGTTAATATTGAAGAAATAACAAAATATTATTTATTAAAATAATATATGTCATAACTATAGTTGAATTTTTATTTTAACATCATTGTTTATAAAAATAGATGAAAATAAATATAAAATATGTAATTTATAATATTTTTTATTTGTTAGATAAATAAAATTATTTTTATATTTTTGGTTGACCTGTTAATTTGTTCTACCATTTTTAATACTTTTTCAATTTTTATAATTTTTTTAATTTCTTATGAGATACCTTAAAAAAAATTCAATAAATTGTGATCTTACTGTAAACAAACCCACTAGTCAAGTTTAATTAATAGGGATGTGAATGACTAGGATATCCATAATTTTTGAGGTATTTGTATTCAAATTTGATTATTTATCAAGATACTTGAATCCAATAATTATTCAAATATTTTTATTTTTTGCTGTTCGAATCCCCTTAAATTTTCATTTATTAAGTCAAACTTTGACTTTTAAATACATATTATTAAAATTTTTAGATTAAATAATTAAAATTAAAAATCATAATTAAGATATTTAATGAATTAATTTAGTTAAGTATTATATTAATAATTAATTTATAAATAGTATATATAGTATTAAAAATATATTATTTATAATTAGATTAGGATAGTGAGCACCCTAATTTCATTACCCAAATCCTATTTGAATCTGGATGGGTTGAAAGTATACTACCCGAATCCAATTATAGATACTCTAATCGTATTTAATCGGGTTGGATTGTTCCGAGTACCTGTGTATATGGTATCCGTTGCCATTTTTATTAAATCGTGAGAGAAAATTTAAATGAAGTTTTTTAGATAAAGTTTGTGAAATTTTTTTAACAAACATTTTAATAAAAATTTTGATAAAAATATAAATCGATAAATTGATAAAATTAATATAAAAATTATAAATAATGTAACACCTTATTAAAATATAATGTGTAATTCAAATTGATAAGCACTTATTAAAGAGTAAAAATTAATATCAAAAATTTCTTAAATGTTTATTTAAAAAAATAAAAATTTATTAATTTTTTTAAAATTATACATTTAATTTATAATACAAACATTTTAATTATTCATTTAATTTTCGATTTTATTTTAAATTATTTTTACTAAAAAACCTTTACAAAATTCACTTGAATAACTTCATAAATCTTTCTTGGCCCGTGATAGAAAGTCATTTATTTTTTTTTCTAAAAATATCATATTTGATAAATTAATAATTATGAATAAAGTGATTCATTATATAAATAAATATAATCCAATAGTATTTAACTCTGTTATATATATATTTAAAAATAGTTTGAAATAAAAGAAAAAGAATGTAAGAATCGAAATTTAAATTTCATGAACTTAATTTCATATATGCAATTATAAATATATATATATATATATTTGCAGAATCATTATTGCGATTCACATGCATGAGATACACAATTCATGACTGGTTTCACATTAATGAGATTCACAATTCCTGACAGATCCCAAATGATTCTTTTGATTATTTAACCAATATTTAAAAAAAAAAAACCTTATTTCTGCTGTGGTTCCAATTAAACAACGGGAATCACATTCTACTGTGGCGTGAGGACATAAAACTTGCATGCATGGGATTCAACAGTTCGCTTAATTTGATATTTGACAGAGTTCGTAGTTGAATGCTGCCAGAAAATCAAACAACTTTGATATTAGCTTGGAGTACATGTACGTCAAAGAAATCAAAGTTTTGAGCCCAAAAAAAAGCAACTGTAGCTTTACATACCGCCCACAAATCTCGAGCATCGACTACTGTAGATGAGTTGAGCCCAATGTCATCCCATTTTGCAGTTATGGTAGCACTCGATAAACCTCTGTTTAATAAGATTAAGGCAACTCTGTTCTCAGTTAAAGGACCAGCCCACACCTTTACATATAACACATGGGAGAGGAAAGCAGTTAAGGCGTGTGAAATTTGATGCTTCAATGTCAAATAAATGAAAAACTCTAACCTCCAGATCTCCAGTCTTTCTGACCTTCTTCCCTTGAACCCCCAGTTTATCTGTTAAATGAACAGTACCAGAAAAGGTGATATAGCTTTCATTTCTTGTCCAGAATCCAGATTGATGAGTTTTACAGCATGAATGTGAACATACTAAAAGAAAAATGAGATGGATGATTATATTGGTTACCTTGATTAACAGCTATAACCTCCTTGTTGCTAAGCAATTCGAATGTGTCATCATCCATGGAACGGATATCGCATCCAAGAATAAGTGGAGCCTATACCATCATAGTCAAATGATATTCATTAAGGATTGCACTGTTTGATTTTGAGATTTGTGGGAATGAATCATAAATTCAAGGACCTTAGCTAAAGCCCATAAGCTGAAGTGAGAGCGGTATTCTTCTGTTGACATTCCTCCATTGCCTACCTCAAGCATGTCTGGGTCTAAGATTTAGAAGCCAAAGGAAAAATGTACGGCATTGTTTAGATTTGTTTACTCAAGTCAAATAATCAATTGTCATTAGCTTGTATCTAAGAACAAGATCGGTCTAACCATACCATTCCATCCGCCAGGTCCAGCATAAGAAGTCCATTTATCATTAATATCAGCACGCGATATCATACTAGCAAAAGAGAGTAGTTGTCTCATAAATCACAATGTTATGGGAAGATTAGCATTTGTTCACTAATAGCTTGAATTCTCATTAATTTCAGGTGTATATTTCATATATACTGCCCTTTTACCTCTCCCAAGTATCCTTGATGTCTCCAGTTGTTCTCCAACTATTCCCAATGCTAGGTGCCCAAGTTGCTGGGTCTTCGAAGCCCCTATAAATGATTATATATCTTATACATGTTGTCTGTAACGGAAAAGGAATTTGGTAGAACCAGGAAAAAAATGGAAAGGAAGGAATTAGACAAATAGTCATACCATTCGCAAAGAGAGTAGAAGATAGGTCTACCGGTGTTTAGAAGAGCTTTGCCCATCTTTGAATATCTGTCACCAAGGAATCATTAACAAATTCTCACTATAATAAACAGACGGTAGAATTTCTTTTCATCTTTAGTATACCTTTCCTGTGGGCTCACTCCTTGGTTGTGGCAATTGTCATATTTTAGATAGTCAATACCCTGAAAAACGAGCCAAGCAAGATTAACCTGAACCTCGTCTCATACAATGGTGCAAAATGAAGAACTAATTAACACACAGAAACTTGGATGTGTAACAGACCAAAAAACAAATTGTAAATTAACTTGGAATAATATTAACTCTGGAGTCAGGACAGAAGATTAATAGGTATGGTCCATCTGGGCTATCTTTAAGAGGCAGATCCACGTATATAGGTAAAGTGTGCATTGACACAACAAATATTGGAAAATAAGAAAATTTGAAAGAAAATCTTTCCTTAGACAACTCTAGAATTTTTTTCCTAGACATCATTTCCGTTAAAATTAATAAATTTGTTGGCAGTTTATATATATATATATATATATATATATATATGCGGACACCTTGAAAAAATCCTGGATCCCTCAGAGCTTAAATATGCAGCAATTGTTAATAACATACCCAAGAAGCAAAGGTGTTAGCATCTTGTTGCTCATGACCAAGAGACCCTGGCATTTGCTTGCTGCACGTTAAAGTCCTGAAAAAACAAATCAGGATTTAGGGGCTAATAAATATATGGAATAGCTTTTGGTACCAAAGAACGTTTTAGCATTGTAGTTGAATATTGATAGATGTAGCTTGATACCCAGCATCAGCATAAATCCCGATCTTAAGCCCCTTGCTGTGGACGTAATCTGCCAGTGCCTTCATCCCAGAGGGAAAAAGAGAAGCTTTTGCCACTAAGTTGCCCTGTTAGCAAAGATTACATGCAGCATTTTTGGACATTAATTTGCTTAGACGTTTGATAAATTCATGTTACATGCAAACACGTACAACAACTAGCTAGCAGTGTTACAGCAAACTTTCTGCAAGAGCGCTAGCAAGAAGAAATCGTCTAGGCTCGGGAAAAATCAAACCTCCAGAGACTGGAACAAATTAAGAAAGAAACCAAGGAAAGCTTCAATATCTTAGGTCCAGAAGTTTCAAGTTTCATCTAACTTCATCAAACGAAGTCTTAGGTCTCCAGCAATTTAGTTTAAGTATTTAAAACATAAAGATGCAATGATTGACAAAAAAATATTGGCATAGACATAGCAGATAAATTGAAAACAACAGATAATAGATTCATCAGTCTCAAGGAATCCCAATTGATTATAAGTTCTGTAGTTAAAATTTATACCTCAGAGTCTCTATTCAATTCAGCCCAACAATCATCTGGTCACGCTCAAACAAATTTAAGAAAATCAAGAATTTTGTAGGGACATAGTCATCATAAAAAAAAAAAAAAAAAACTTGTTGGGTCAATCAGACTTTACTGTTCAAAGCAATAGAGAACTTACCTAGATTAATATACTCATATCCAAGGGCTGACAGTCCACTAGAAACCATAGCATCAGCTGCATAAGAAATTGAGTTATTCAACTAAACAGTCAATTTAGGGAAATGGTAAAAGTAATAACTCATATTTGGCAGAAATGTCAAGCCTTCCCTATGAAACACTTCTTATTTCTTACCTGTCTGCCGAATTAGCTCCTCAGTAATCTTGCAGGGGAAATGATTATAACTGTTCCATCTGCAGTGAACACAAATCAGTAAAATAGCAACACAGGAAATGCAGCCACTCAAATTTAAATGAGCATGACTAAATAATGACCAAAAGTACAAATGAAATCTTTTGCTAAGAGTATAAAGGGAATTTTAACTAAGTTAACTGAAATAGCACCCAAATAAAGTATGTACTGGCTTCTGCATTGTATTAAGTATGCCTAGAGCGTCCTGAATTTGCTATAATTGTTTTTGTTATATTTTTACTTTTTACAAATGTCCCCTACAGAAACTAAACATTCATCCGCACTTCATTGTCCAATGAACAAAAAAAGGACATGGTGGACACAATATTTGATGAAGTTAAGACAGAATATGCTCACCCATTTGAGGAGTGTGCCAAGACCAATATTAAGCAATTTCTTTTGCACTTGATACATCAAGTTTTCTTGACGACACCATTTTAAGTCAAATGGCGAATAATACGAATGAGCGGAGTAGGTTCCAACCATAAGCATCGGTGCTGCCTTGGTTTGTTTGAGCAAAAGCATGAACAAATATTAGAATCTTAGTGTGTATATGTATTATTGTGTATATAGTATATGTAGTGAAGCTCTGTGTTAACAGAATAGCATAAAAAGTATTATTGATGCGCCAAAATGACGTAAAAAGCTTCCACTTTGGAATCATCCTACATAATCCAAATTTCATAGCCGGTTTAATGATGAAACCTAGCTATTGTTAAGAATCTGTCTGCGAGCATATCAGCTTTGGTTCTAAATGGTATCTGATGGGCAATCAAGCAGCTTGAGTGTTGTTATTGCAGAATGTAGACGTTTTAACCAAGGTCATTGAGCGGAATGAATCATTTACTAATTTAATATACCTAACATTACCGAATCACAGTATCAACATGGTTGTTGTTATTTGAAGATTGAATGATGTCAAAAAGAAATTAACCATGGATTCATCGTAACCATAATTTTGTCAACAAGTGTGCTACATGATGGGAAATGCTGGTGCCAGCGCAGCAATAAGAATTTTCTATTAGGAAAAACAAGCGCTAATTCGGATGGTACTCAAGCTTATAATTTGTACTTGTGAAATTCCAGGTTCAACTTTGATAGTTGAGTTTGAATCTGAGTAACATCTTGATTATTTTTGTGTTTGTGGAGCTGAAGTTTGAGTTAATTTTAAGGGGTACAGAGTATTTTCATTGTTCTGGAAAGTCCCATGGGTATGTAGTAGTCAATTGTTTTTCTAGTTACCCTTCGGGTTTGGTTTGGGCCAAAAATAAAAAATGAAAAAAACCCTTTTTTTTTGTTGCTTCTGGTTCTGGACAGCCACTACCTTTAAAATCTGAAATCAAAATCTACCATGTTTCCAATCCCTAGGTCCCTGCATTTTCCTACTGTCTAGAAATTTCATTGTTAGGTGACTAGCAATTCCAACTTCCCCAAGTCCTTAACGGGCTCTAGTCTGAGCCTTGTGACCTGTTTCCCTAGGGATATTGAAACCCACATAGTGCCCGGATTTTACGTTTGCAGACATTACTAGGCTTCCTCAGCTTAGAAAGCAGAATTTACCTTCAACATGATGATGTCTAGCTTCAAGTTCCATGAGGCTTAAATTGAACCTTTTGATGAAGACAACCCTCAATTATTTCCTCTCAGGACTTGAGAGTTGAACTGTTAAGCTTTAAGTTATTAGGTCATGTAGGTATAAAGAGCTTATATAATGAAACATTTGTTGCTAAGATAATATTATGTTTCTTTTAGAAAGCGTGAAAAGAGATTTAAGATAAATAAGAACATTGAATGAATTTATCACTACATATTTACAGATGAAGGTAGACTAAATTAGGCTTAGCAATACAACTCAAATTTTTTTGTTAAGATTTACAAAGCACCAAAATAATACTAATTCAATTTTAGCAAAAATCTTATATGAGTTTGGCTAAAATTAAAATATTTTTTGTGTTTGACGTATGAGTGATACAATAATTTTCGTATTTTATATGTGTTTGACATAAAATAAAACAAATATAAATACATGATTTGCAAGTCTAAACTAAATTCATGCTTAATGATTATCATATTCATATAAAATCTGTTATGTTTTTCATGAAATTGCATCATTATTCATTCCATTCCTTTTTTGTTGTGGAAATTCACGGAAGACATAAGCACATGCACAGTCGCTACATTCCTGCCGCTGCTATCAATCCACTCTCCATCGAAATGTCCCTTTTTTCAATGCTGAACTGTTGTATGTGGTGTCAGAGTATACATTTTACAAGCATGAGAATCCACTTCAGCAGAAATCTGGTCTTGAACCGATGTCTCTGTTGAATGCTGTTCATTTCAAGAAGTTTAGGACAAATAACCGAAAACAAGAACTTATACAACAACAAAAACTAAAAGTCTATTGTTTAGGGTGAATGGAATCTCACTGCCCACAAGTCTTGAGCATCAACAATAGTTGATGGCTTAAGCCCTATATCAGGCCAATAAGCGGTGATGTTTGCAAGGGCAGATCCCCTGTTCCATAAGACCATAGCCACCTTTTTGTTAGTCAAAGGGCCAGCCCATACCTACATTATCAATTCAATGTAAGAAAATCATTTCTGAGAATTGTGGGGGGAAACCAAAGAATACTATTTCCTGACAAACTTCTGCAAATATGGAAAATATTGAAGCAAACATGAAGTCATAAATGCAAATGAAATTACCTCAAGATCTCCATCTTTCTTCACTTTTTTACCCTGGACTCCAAGTTTATCTGCTAAGCTCAAAGAGGTAAAAAATTCATGTTTTTTCCATAACTTTTTTTTCCCCTTTTTCAGGTGGCTAAACATAGTAGATTAGAATAAGTTATTTCCCCACTCATATTTCTAAACTACCCACGAGTTACAAACTTTTGCTTATTTTACCTTGATTGACTGCAATAACCTCCTTATTGCTTAGCAATTCAAATGTCACATTACCCATAGACCTAATGTCGCAACCAATCAACAGCGGAGCCTGCAAAATGGCATACACAGAAAGGAAATATGAAGGTCGATGGCATTGATATGTGCATGAATATAGAAATTTGGAATAGTGTACTTTAGCCAATGCCCATATGCTGAAATGGCAGCGATATTCCTCCGTTGTCATACCACCGTTTCCTACTTCAAGCATGTCGGGATCTGATTCACAGCATTTAATTTTTGGCAAAGTCAGATAAATTTATTTTGCACTAGTTCGGACTATGTAGTTAGGTGATTGAACTAATGCTGTAACACTACATAACTCTCTCACATCTAGACATGGGTGCTTATACCCTTTCTAAGTATGTCACGTTCGATTACACTTACATGTGAAGAGAACTTGTTCAAGTGGTATTATATCAAATTTTAAGTATTTAATTTATTGTGGTCTTATATTTAAGATGGCTTCTCCTCTTATTGTTAATTAGTTTTAGATTAAATGCTTAATAATTTAATATGTAGTAGTACGTCGTATATGAAAGTACTTCTATTCATAGTTCATACCATTCCAAGCTCCAGGTTGAGCATACGAAGCCCACTTGTCATTTCGATCTGCTATGGATGTCATGCTAAAACACAAGAATTCCATCAGTCCCTCAAAAACATAATTATGTTGCAAATTCCAGAATAATTCAATTACTAACGGCTGCATGGTCCAGATGATGCAAAATCCTAAAAACATGTAGTAAAATATTGCAATCGGCTGGGTAATACATACCTCTCCCATGAATCTTTAATATCCTCGGTTGTTCTCCAGCTATTTCCTATACCTGGTGCCCAAGTTGCAGGATCTTCTTCTCCCCTGTATGTTTTAAACTTGGTGAACCATTAATTTCCCGGTTTCCCTCTAGCTAAAGAAGTTATTCACTTACCATTCACATAAAGAGAAAAATATGGGCCTCCCTGAGTCAAGTAATGCTTTGCTCATCTTCCGGTACCTACCGACCAAATAATTTCAATATCCCAAGCAAAAGAAACCGTCATTGATTAGCACAAGTGGAAAACCCTGTTTCCGACCCCATTATCATCAGATCAAGTAAACTACCTTTCCTTTGGGCTTATGCCAGTATTTGCACAGTTGTCATATTTCAAGTAATCAACTCCCTAGACCAAATAAGAACCATCTTAGAATAAGAAAGGTAATGTACGGTAACTTTATTTTTTTTTTTCACAAAAGAGCCTGCATGAGGATAAGGAAAGTGATTTTAGATGCTAGAATTCAAATCCTAGACTTGCTCCGGGTTCATAGGGAAACATTTTACAGGGAACTATTGAAACCAAAAAGAAACAAATAGAATCACGCATACCCATAAGGCAAAGCTTTTTGCATCTTGTTCTTCGTGTCCTAGGGACCCAGGCATGGTCTTGCTACAAGTTTGTGTCCTAACAGGATAAATAGTGCATTAAAAAAAAAAATCTTGAGTCTTGAGGAAAACAAGAAGCTTTCAGAAGAAATCATCTTGTGTGAAAGTAAACTTTTTCTGAGCTTTCAATTTCATTCCTAGTATTTGAACCTAAAAGAATAAATACCCTGCATCAGAGTAAATTCCAAGCTTAAGCCCTTTGCTATGAACATAATCTGCAAGAGCCTTAATGCCTGAAGGAAATGTTGAAGCTTTAGGAACCAAATTCCCCTGACAAAAACACAACACATTTCACCTCCATGATCAACATTAATATTTAGTCATTGCACAGATTTTGATTCTCTTAAAACCCAAAGAGAGCAGAGTCAGGAAAATGTTACCCGAGAATCTCTATTAAGTTCTCCCCAACAATCATCTAATTAATTGGACAAATATAAAATCCAATAAGAAACAATATAAAGCAATAAATCAAATGTAAGTCCAGAATAAGAAAGCAATAACCAAATTAAGTAATCATAGTACAGCACCCAAATTAATATAGGTGTATCCAACAGCAGCTAGACCACTTGAGACCATTGCATCAGCTGCAGCACAAAGTAGTTCAGTAATGAAATTCTTTGTCATAATTATCACCAGAGCACATGTTTTGTTTCTTTTCTAGAAGTGTAGTATGAAACTCAAGGTGATGTTGTGGTAATCAAGAACTATTTACGTACCGGTTTCCTTGATCAATGTCTCGTTAATGTGGCAATGGAAATGGTTCCAACTATTCCACCTGATCAAAAAACCAAGAAGTTTACAGAGAGCTTACAGATAACGGTGCATTTGCAAGAAATTGGAATTGAAAAGAGATAGCTTGAACAAAAGCTTGCCAAGAAGTAACATTAATATGAAACCTGGAAAACTAGATTTAGCTTGATCATTACATGAACATTTTCTCCATCTTAGGCCAGCACCTTTTTTTTTCCATTTTGTTTTTTCATGTTTTTCATATGCAACAGTCAACTATGCTTTTTCACTTGCATAGAAGTGATCCAGATCCATATAAAAAAAGTGAGATGGACAAAGATTAGGAAAAGAATAAGAGGCATCATACCCCATTTGGGGAGTTAAACCAAGGCCATTGTCCAAGAGATTCCTTCTAATTCTAGCCGAATCTGTAAGCTCAATATTTCCTACTTGAGGACCGTTCACGGTGGCAGAGTTGGCCAACAACAGTGACGATATAAACATTAAACTGAAAATCCAAAAGAAAACTAGAAAACAACCAGATGATGATGAAGGAGCCATTGGAGCTATTCCTATCCTCCTGCTGTTGGAAAGCAGAAACCTAGCAGCTAGCAGGCAAGATAAGTCGAGAAAACAACAGAAAAAACACAATGCTAAGGTGCACTTGACTAGGGTTGGCATCGGGTCGGGTTCGGGGCAGATTTTGCTAGCCTCGAATCCGACCCAACTTAATGTTTAAAAAATTCGAATTCGATTTTATTCGAAAAATTTTTTATTTTTTCATACTTGAACTCGATTCGATCCGATATTATTATAAACCGTACACGATCCGATCCGATTCGAAATTAATAAAATATTATTTTTAAATATAAATATTTAAAAATATCATTATATAAATATATATATATATAATTAAAAAAATTAAAAAATTAATTAAAAAAATTATTTATATATATATCGGGTCGGATAAGGTCAGATTTACCTAAAATTTGACCCCGATCTGACCTCGACTTTATCTTCATGATACCTTACCCGACCCAACTCGATTCCTGATTTTCAAAAAAAAAATCGACTTTAAAAAATCGAGTCGAACCGAAACCGTCGGATAAGAATTTTTTTGCCTTCCCTACACTTGACAACCCAACATATAAATAAAGACAACCCCCAACAACTTTAATCCTGTAGTATCTTCAAACATAGCTTCCCTCTCTACATATAGGACAGTATTCGGCCTGTTTTATGATGTAACTCACGAGGAAAGAAAGCTTCAAACGTCAACCATAGGCAGGGTCTGATCCTAGTGAAGATAAATATAAAAAGGTCACTATCACCATTTATGAAGGTTCAATTTCTTCCGTAATAGAAGACTCGATCAAAAGGCAAGTGGGATGATGACAACCCCAGTTATAACTTACATAAAATAAGTTATATCTAATCTTATTCAGGGTTGGGACTTGGGAGGGCAAACAATGTATGTCAATGAGCTGGATTCCGGATTTCTTGGAAGTAATAAATCATAGTCCAGGGGGTAGCGATGATTGATCAATTTGTTCTGGCACTTGTGCGGCTTGTCCGTGATTGTCCTTGGGCTATCTCATTTTAATTCCGTGATCAAATTGCAAGTGGTTCTTGGCAACAGCAGGTATGATGCTTTATTATTCAATCTCAACATATTTATAACAACTAAATGTCAATGGCACTTGTGTATTCTAACACAATGATAGAAACTAGTTTGATCATAAAAAAAGGAAATAAGCCAGGGTGAACAACTGGCTAGATGTTCAGCTTGGAACGGATACAAATATAACAACATGAAAAGACTGCTAAAATTTTTCAACAGAAGTAGGTAGATACAAGAGAAAAAGGTTGAGCATCGATCCCAAGTGCCTAAACAATTAGGAGCCACAAACTTGACACAAAGTCTTAGAAGCCAGAATCTGAGTGCTCCTCCTATAAATCCCCTAAAATCAAGAGTCAACAAATTAATACATCTGAAGAATGCAAAGTGCCAATATTTCTTTTTTTTTTTTTTGACAACGTATTGAAACTAATTCAAATATATGAAGAAGTAAAATTCATATTCTTCACAGTTCTTTTAGTTGATGCAACGGATTTACAGAAAGCAAACAACCAGGTATCCATCGCCATAGGTGCCAAGCGGAATAATACTGGTTGCAAGTGTGAGCATTTTGCATTTTCTCAGCGGGTAGCCGACTGCTTAATCTGGAGGATAAAAACAGTAGCATATGTAAAGTAGCCATGATAAGCATCCAGAATGAAGTACTAGTCGATTACTTGATCATATTACATCTCTGTTTCTTGTCTTCACTTGATAGACTATTGCATGTAAAATAATTTACTAAAAACATGGTATCGTCGTAAGAATATAAAAATACTCCAAATAAACCCATGCGTTGTCGCTGGTTATTTTTTTTTAATTTATAATAAATAATTTTCATGATTAATTTAATAAATCAATGTGTAAATTTTGCCTTATAGTTTTTTAATAAAAGTATGGTCAGTAAAAATTGATTAATTAATTTGTGTAAAATAATTGCATTTCATTCTCACATTTTATATAATAAATCAAATCTAAATCAATTGTTTAGAATTTATCTTTCAAAACATAATTAAAAAATAATAAAATAGACAATTTTAAAACACAAAAGAAAGTTAAAAAAAAAAAAAAAAGCCCAAGCAGAGAAAGAGGAAAAGAGGAAAAGGGAGCCACATTGGAACGTTACATGGACACTTTCATTTAGTCATAACGACGAACCAGACGGGTTGATTTTTGCTCGACTAAACTCTGACTCAATTTTTTTTTTTAATAATTTAACTAAGAATGCATTGAGTTATTATTTTTTATATTCGGTTTGACCCAACACATATGTATAACTATATATCATCTAACTTAATTCGAATAGATTAAATAATTTTAATTTAATAAAATGTTTATAAAACTATTATTTTTTGCCAACAATTGCATAATTGTTGATAGAGTACTTAGTTCTTAGTTTCAGTAACAAGAAATCAAATTTTAGTAGCCTAAAGTACAAAAAATGTAAATTATTATTTTTAATATAAATTATATTTTAATTATATATAAATATAATATATTTATTTAATTAAAGTATTAAATAATAATTTGATTAATATAATATATAATTAAATAACTAATAAAAATATATTTTGATATCTAGAAGATGATTGAGATAAAACATTTTAAATCTACCTCTAAATCGATCCCAAATTTCAAAAAAGAAAATTTGTTTGATTTCAACCTGAATTCAATTTTTATGAATTAAAATCCATAGATACAGATTGTTTTATTATTTATATCTTCAACAAGCAATTTTTTTTATAAAATTTATCCAATTAAAAAAATGATAAAAACTAAAAGACCAAAGGGAAGTAAGAAAAAAGCCATACGAGATACCATATGGACACTACATTTGACCATATATGTTATCAAACATAATTAAAAAAAAAAAAAACTAAAATAGATAATTTAAAATATAACAAAAATTTAACAGAAAGTTAGAACTAAAAATAAAAAGTAAAAAAGAGGCAAAAAAAAAACTAAAAAATCAAATGAAAATGCCACATTGACACTTTTAATTTCAAAATTCAAATGGATTAAGTCGATTGAATTTATGTTCACTCCGGCACCGACCCATTTTTTTAATAATTGTTCTTATTAGACCGAAATGAGTTGATACCAATCTAATAAGATTTTTATTAATAATTTTATTAATATAATATAAATATATTTAAATATATAATTAATACATAATAAAATATATATCTTTATATATATTTCGAGAGAAGTCAAGGCAAATTACCTTAATCCTGCTTTCAAACCCACTCCATTTCTTTTTTTGAAAATTCCAACCCAATTCTTATTAAAAGAATCACTCCTTATCAAATTTGAACTGATCGAAACCCGTCATAAGTAAATTGTTTAGCCATTCCTATTTATCAACTACTTTTGCACCAAAATTTATCTAATTAAAAAATACAATAAAAACAAAAAAAAGGCAAAAAAGAAAATATCATGTAAACACCTCCGCTGAATTTTTTTTTTTCACAAATTTATCTAATTTAAAATACAAAAAAAAATTAAAAAACTAAAGAGCGCTGCAACCTAAACCTATATTAGAGTCAATCACGATTTAAAAATGACACCACCTGCCTTGCTCTAATCTCATTTTAAAAGTCATTCTTATTAGATCAAAATGAATCGAAACCATAAAAAATAAATTATTTTCTCTTCCTTACCTATATTAACCTTTTTTTTTTTATAAAATTTATCTAATTTAAAAAACAAAGAATATCGCATAAAGAGAAAAGAAAGTCGTATCAGAGTGTCATTTGGATTCCTCTATTGGCCTCCTTTTCTTATAAAATCTCATATATGGATTTTAATAAAACTAAATTGTAAAAAAACAAAACTTAAAAAAGCAAAACCATAAAAGAAAATAAAAAAAGAAAAGGTCGACAATAAGGGATAAAACAAAATCGGGTATCACATTAACACCTTCATTGGTTTTTTTTTTTTTTTTTATAAAATTATCTAATTCAAAAAAATAAAAGAAGGAAAAAAATAAAAGTTTTTCAATAAAAAAATTCAAATAGACCCCACTCAAAGTTTCTTAAAAAAATAAATTTATATTATTAAATAAGAAAGAAGAAAAGAAGGAAAATAGAAAAAAGAAAAAGAAGAAGAAGAAGAAAAAAAAAAGTCAGCTCATAAGATGTGCCACATGACAAAAAATGAGTAAAATTTATTGTATAAATTGGGTTGAAATTTGATAGTAACATTTTCAGACTTACAGTATAATCTTTTTAACCATAAGATATTGTCTAATGCAATAACAACTACTTGCTAGAGATAAATATAGACTCAGGTTAAATCAAATGATAAAGCATTAGAAGTAGCAACTTTCCGCATCATGCTCCTGGAATTTATGTTTACTAGAACATAAATTAATCATCAATATGATAATAGAATATATAAAGTTTTCATTTCTAGCAAAGGTTAAATATAAAACATAAGCACTCATCCAATTCCATGACTGAGACATGAACAATCAAATTAAATAGCTTGTCCTGTATTTTGCATTCACATCATCTAATACCTCAACGAGCAAAATGCATATACAAGAATGTACCTGCATTTTACTTTGACTGAGGTGGAATCATTCCTGTTTTCCTTGCATATGCGAAGATCCCTCCAGCCTCAATGACTGGCCCAGCATCCCCAATGGGCTTTAATTTATACTCTTTGCCAGTGTTATGATTGATCAATCGACTCTCCCCCAATTCAATTGTCACCATATCCCCAGTCCTACATTCCTCACATATTCTCACTTCTGATTCTAACGGATAAACTTCCCCAGTTGCAACAGAATTCCTGAAAAAGATTCTAGCATAAGATTCAGCGACAACTGCCTTTGCCCCAGCAGCCCCAAGTGCAACAGGTGCATGCTCACGCGAGGACCCACAACCAAAGTTAGCACCACCTATCACGATGGAGTATTTTGTCTTAATCTCATTGGGTTCAATAAAACGTGTAGCATATGATGAAGGGAGACCAATAAGAGCGTATGAGCCCAATTTCTCATACTCGGCTGGGTTTGAGGGAACTAATGTAAGGTATTCCGCAGGAATTATTTGGTCCGTGTCAATATTATCCCCAACCACATAACAAAGGCCATGGAAGGTTGTAGTCGAGGCGTCAGAAGGAACAGAGGAGGGTGAGGTGGCGGCATATGTTGTGATGGTGGTCACACGTGCAGCATGTGGTGTGAAGGTAGAACTTAGGGGTTTGACAGTCAAAGGGGAGAAGGTGGGGACTTTGAAGGAAGGGGGGAAGAGAGGAGGTGGGGAGACTGAGGTTTTGGATGCTAAGGAGGAGAAGGTGGCTGAGTATGAAGCGTGAGACAAAGAGTCACACATTATTAGAATTTCGGTGTTAATACAGTCTAATACAAAGATGGTGATGTGTTGGGTTTTTGCTGTGAGTTATGCTTGATGCCAACTTCAAATTTCACCAGGTAACATAAAGCAATGTAGAGTTTTCTGTAAGGCAACGAGTTTATGTAAGGAACTGATAGCATAATCAGACAGTAAATTGAGAAATATTTTCCATAGACATATAGCAAGATATACATAATAATAATAATAATACATAAAAATGTATAAATACTCATTAAATGTCTGCCCACATGTACATATATGTTAAAAAAAATTTCCATGTAAAAACATAAACGGGCAGAATAATCTACTGAAATTATAAACCACAATTGATTAGTATTTATTTTCTTTTTTTGCTAAAAGAAAACCTAGGGTAACCATTCTTATAAAAAACTACATGACATTAAATTGGTCTGGTTCTTTCCGAGCCCCTCTCTCTGCCTCTCACTCGTAACCAAAAGATAGTAAAAGTTCAAAATTTTGAAACTTGATGCTTCAGTGTCAAATCCATATTTGCAACGTTGGTTTGATGATCGTAAGAAATTGTGAAGGCAACCTCCCCTCAAAGATGAGTAGTGCACAAACAAAATTAAATTCCCGACAAATTTCATGGAATTAAGTATATTTCGAAAATTCACTTATTATGTTCTTCTCAATATCGTCGTTTATTCTAATCCGAAACCTATCAAGAGCCATTTATGAAATGACTTCAACTAGTGAATGGAAATTAACTTAACCCCAACAAAAAATTGCAACCAGTTCATTAGATACAAAAGGGTAACGGAGAAGCAAGAAAAAACATAGTAAAGGGCAAGAGTAGGTAACAACATAACCTAAAGATTCGTCATTCAGGAGATTCAAATAAGTCAAGAGACAACATCAGAGACAGGAAGCGGAAGATGTTAAATCAGGAATTAGGAAAATTGTCTATAAAACCCAAATTCAATCAAGATTATACTATAATATACTATCAGCAGTGGGACAACCTAAATTCATGTTATATTATCGAATCGCTCAAGCATCCCACTCATTCATATGAAGCTTCCTATGTAAAACTACCAAAATTTAAGGATAAAACATAGAATTAACAAGATTTCAAAGAGACTGTATCACCATAAAGAAGAATAAAAAGGAGATGGAGAAAACAGAGGGGCGACGAAGAGTAAAGGAAATACCTTTGATCAGGGCGCTAATGATCACGGTAGCTTGGACGGTGGATATGGGTTCAAAAAGTAAAGTCGGTGAATGGCGGGTCTAAAAGACTAAAATGTTCCTAGTGTTTCTGTTTTTTTCCCTCAAGTACAGGTTGATACTATACAGTAAAAACGAAACATAGGAATGGGTAAAATTGGAAAAGCAAAGGTGAGAGCAATCCAAAATCCGGAGGTTTTATTTGCACTTCCTTTTTTCAAAATCATTAGAAATTATTTAATTATTTTTTTAAATCCTTTTCACTTTTAAGTGGAAAATTTTTAAATTTTTAAAATTTAAAAAATTTCCAGTAAATCTAAGAAATTTTAAAGTTTTTATATCAAATCGTTTAAATTAAAAAAATTTTCAAATGGTAAAAACGCACATGTATAACTTTTGTCTATCCATTTGTAAATAAATTTATAATTATTTAAAATAAATCTTGTTTTTTTCTGTGATATTGTAAAAAATTTTCAAAATTTTAAAATCCTAAAAATAAATGCATTTAATTTTATAATATATTTAAAATTTTAAAAAAAATACACTTTAGCTGAAAAATTAAAACAAGAAATGATTTCAGTCGATTGGGCCATTTAAAAATTGGTCGTAAATAGAGATCCAGCCCATTCTCAAAGGTCAAAGAAGAACATAAGGGCATAGCCAATAAGATGAGGATTGAGATGGCCCACCAACTCATCTCCAATTTCAATGCCTGTCCAATCCTTCATATCCCTTCCCCTACTGTGTGTGTATTACTTAATTGTCAGAGGGTTTTCGGTTTTCCATTTTTCATTTGTTCTTCACTTTCTAGAACAAAGCAAGACAAAACAAATCACCCTCAAAATCAAGGTTTCAATCTGATTTTAATCATCTTGTACTTTCTCTTCGAATTTTATTTTAAATACTAATTTATAGTACTTTTATTTTTTCAAATCGTTGAATTCAGATATTCCCCCATGGCTTCCAATTTGCAGAAGGAATCCACTGCTGCTGGTGAGCTTAATCTCAGATTCCTTTTCATTCTTTCTTAATCTCGGATTCCTTTTCTTTCTTTCTTTGTTTTCTCTGTTAAATTGGATTGGAATTTGTTCTGAGATCTATCTGAGCTCCGTCTCCTTATTTTTTGATCGGCGGTTAAATGAATTTCTTGTTGCTGGTTAGTCTAATTATTTTTGTTTACTACTAAGCTTAGGTCTTGAATTGATCTGATTTTCGAATCCAAAAAAAAAAAAAAGCTTCCTTTCCTCGCCATCTATCAATACTGCCTTGTAATTGTATTATTCATTTTTCGTGTTACTAAGTTTAGGTCTAGTAATTGTATTATTCATTTTTCATATTACTAAGTTTAGGTCTAGTAATTGTATTAGGGATTCATTAATGTTGATGACTCCCGATATGGCTTGGTTGTGAAGTTAGTGAATTCATAAGTTTGGCTGTTGTTTATGTTCCCCTTTTCTTTGTTAGATGAGAAATCGACTTTGACAAAGGAGAGCAAAAGTTCAAAACCAGAAACATCTGCCACTGAGAACAAAACTTCAAAACCAGAAACTTCCACTGGGGAGTCAAAACCAGCACAGGCTGGAGCTTCTCCTGACACTATGCCTGGAGCTGCTGTGTTTGCCCCACCCAATCCATTTGATTTCTCAGCCATGAGTGGCCTTCTTAATGTAAGCTTCTCTCTTTTTATTTTAATTCTTGTTTGGATTATTGTGAACTGTTTCTTTGAATGAAAAAAATCCAATAGTCTCTAAGTCGTTCTTTTGATCACCTTTTGATAATTATAGCTCATCTTTTGCCATGTGTCCTTGCTAATGCTGCAATAGTAGAACATCTTAAGGTTTATGATTAATGTCATTAATTGACTGTTTCAGCTGTGTACTTAATTGCTGGGAACTGACAGAATAGAACAGCGTCCACTGGTAATTTTGGGAGCTTGGATAAAGCTTGTAAATTAGTCTGTATTTACACTTATACAAGGGATATTATATTTTGTTGGATCTGGCTTTATGGGGCTCAATGCAACATATCCAGAATGGGGTGTCAAGTAGAGGTGGCAAATGGGTGGTTTGATTGGGTCATTTGGGGTTAGAGTCATTTCGGATTCTGATTGTTTTGGGTCCAGGTTGTTTTCAGGCTGGGTTTCCTTGAGTTCAGGTTAGAATAAATTTTGTAATTTTTTAATTACAAAGTCATTAATTTTAGTTTTTAGATTTAAGATCAGTTTATTACGAGTTTGGTTTAGATCAGGTTTGGGTTCGGATCATTTCAGATCTGGAACTTTGAGTTTTTGGTCAATTCGGTTATGGGTGGGTTCTGAAATTTGTTATTCTTGTGACTGATTTGCATTTGATGTTAATCTCATATTTCATTTTTTTCCAACTTGGTGGCCCTAACAGCTTTGTCTTTATGTCTCGACACATTTTAATTTTATGGCTTATGGATGTTAACCATCTTGATTTGTTAGGACCCAAGCATCAAGGAACTAGCTGAGCAGATAGCAAAAGATCCTTCATTTAACCAAATGGCAGAGCAGCTTACTAAAACATTTCAAGGGGCAGCAAGTGAAGATAGTATGCCGCAGTTTGATGCACAGCAGTACCATTCAACTATGCAACAGGTTATGCAGAATCCCCAGTTTATGGCCATGGCTGAGCAACTTGGTAATGCATTAATGCAGGTATATGTAGGCTTAGTTGCTAGTTTAAGTGGATTCATTAGTCTTTTAGTCGATTTTATTTCTGGTAGATGAAGTTTAGTTTTTTCTTTTTTCAGGATCCGGCTATGTCTGGCATGCTTGATAGTTTAACTAATCCTCAACACAAAGACCAGATTGAGGAAAGGATGTCACGTATCAAAGAGGATCCATCGTTGAAACATATTCTAGAAGAAATAGAGACAGGTGGTCCTGCAGCAATGATGAGGTGGGTGATCGAAATACTAGGAGATTAGGAGCATCATTATATCATAAGCTTGTGGGTATAACATTTTCTTCGTTAGAATGTGTGTAGGATGTTTGCATTCATCCGTTTCTTCACTAAATTAATAAAGAAAAGGTTTCTGGTCTAGGTACTGGAATGATAAAGAGGTTCTGCAGAAATTGGGTGAAGCAATGGGTCTTGCTGTTGCAGGAGATGCTGCCACTTCTGCTGGTAATTCTGCAGCTGATGAAGTTGATGAAGTAGGAAATGAGGATGAGTCAATCGTACATCAATGTGCTAGTGGTGGTGATGTTGAGGTATGGCTAAGTGAATGTTTTGTACATATGTTCTTCCCTTTTGACAGATACTCTAAAACTTGACTGTATTCATGATTTAGGGTCTAAAAACTGCACTAGCATCTGGTGCTGACAAGAATGAAGAAGATTCAGAGGGAAGGACTGCATTGCATTTTGCATGTGGATATGGTGAGGTATAATAATTTTATAATTGAATCTCTTTTCGATCCTCTCTGTCTCTGTCTCTTTCGACTGTTGTATCACCTGACAAATGAAGTAGTTTCATCTAGCAAGGACAAATACAGTGTGGAAAATCAGATAGTTTTAATCATTAAGGTAGCGTGTGATATCATGTTCAGGATCACCATGATAATCCAATCACCAAGGTGATCTTATTAGTATGGTGATTTAATCACTCATGATTTGAAGTCACTTTATTTGGTTAATAATAATTAGTTCTTAGGAATTAAAGATCACCATGTTTGGTATTACTGAAAATCAAATATTATTTTGTTAGATATAATCTAGCAGTTTACATGAGTTTGTAGGAGATAAGGTTATTGGGTTCTTGGGGTAGTTTAGGTTATGTTTCTTTAGTTTCGGAAATTTCCTGCCAAGGGGATGGGTTTAATATCATGTTTACTGTCTGGGGGGTGAAGCTAATATAATTTTATTTTATTTTAGGTGAAATGCGCCCAAATCCTTCTTGAAGCTGGAGCAACAGTGGATGCTTTGGACAAGAACAAGAATACTGCACTTCATTATGCTGCTGGCTATGGAAGGAAAGACTGTGTGGCCCTTCTACTGGAGAATGGCGCTGCTGTGTAAGTAAACAAATTGTTGGTGAACCATTGATGCTGACATCTTATTAGCATTGATATTCTGTAATGTAATTTTTTCTTTCTTGCTGCAGCACTCTCCAAAACATGGATGGCAAGACTCCCATTGATGTTGCCAAGCTCAACAATCAGCATGAGGTACTAAAGTTGCTGGAGAAGGATGCCTTCCTCTGACCTGGGAGGGGGCACTGTCATGTGCATGTTTGGGTCGAGCATGTTATAGGCATTTTACTGTGCTATTAGACAGACAAATTTGCTTTGATCATTATGGGGTTGTGATCACAGCTCGACGTGTTGTCTATCTATGCTGTTCTTGCTGCCGTTTGGTTGATACATTTTGAATTTTTTTTAATCTAAAATTATCGTTTTAATTTATTTCCTGAAATAGATTCTGCATGGGGAATGGACCACACACCCACATGTTCATTTAATCGCGAGGACCAACTGCTGTCTGTGACCTCTCTATTCCAATTACACCATACAGTCCTTTCTCTTTTATTGTGTTGAATCATTTGGGTTTTCCAAAATTTAGTGGCGACCTTATGAGTAATGAGTTCCACACTTCCACTATCAAATACGGGGCTTGCTTTTTTTTTTTTGCCAGATCTGTAATGACAATGATGGATACCAAATTTAAAATTGGGTTGTTCATCTGAAGAATGGGGTTACAGATTTGATTGAATACTAATGGAAAAACGCAGAAAAGTTAATAACGGTAAGATTTCTTTCGGCAAAGTATTAATTCCAGTTATGGAAATCAGAAAATCATTAGTTATTCAACCGACCGACAAAAAGAGATTCCGTTTTCTAGCTTTTCCCGCAATCAGTGGTCACTCATTCCTCTTTCGACGTCTTTACAAACTCATAGCAATGGAAAACAGTATTTGTATAGATTAGTCAGTGTGTGTGTAAATAACCCACCGACCGACATGTTCCAGTCATGTGCCTGGACGGGGGCGTATTATCATTTCTTGCGTTGCTCCGACGAATTTATACCTCAAGGAAAAAGGGCGTGGGATGAAAGAGGCTGCAGTCTGTCATACGATTACGAGTATTAAATATGCGCGAGTCACATGGTGATTGGTAGGTGACAGAAGAAGAAAAGAATATTAAACTAGAAAACCATGAGGAAAAAAAAAAGAAAAGTCCATCTCCATCCAATGATTTCTCTGTCTTTTACTTTTCTTTATTTATCTAAAAAAAACTAGACTTGAAGCCGTCGCTGGCTGGCTAGACTCGTACTTGAACTTGGACTTGGACTTGCTGGCCTGGCCGGTCCCCTTCCTTTTATTATTTCTTTATTACGTATAACGGTATTGTTATTACAATTAAATTCATATTTAATATCCTAATTATATCACTTTATTGTTTTGAGGTTTAAAAAATTATAATTAAATATTTACATTTGTATTTTGTTTCATTAAAATCAAAACTAACGTTGCTTATTTTATAAATAAATAAATTATATACTGCTATGAAAATATCGAGTCAAATAACTTGTTAGACTCATGTCATAAGTGAAGTTTATTTTCAAGCAAAAAAAAATTAAAAATATATTTTTTTCTTTTTTGAAATTTAAAAAAAAAAAGAAAGAGAAATTTCAAAAGATTTGAAAATCTGAAAAGTTTGAAAAAAAAAAAGGAATAAGGGAAATAAAGAAGAGGCAGTAGGGAGGGGTAAAGGAAAGCAAGCTTGACCAATCACTCATTTGACCAACTTAAGGGAGATGGGTCTCTCCCTCCTTTTCTCTTCTTCTCTCTTTTTTCTTATTTTTTTTTTCTCATTGATCCTTTTTTTTTTTTTCTATTTCTATTTTACAGCTTCGAAATTTCATAGAATTTTTTTTAATTTTCTATTCTCAATTACTATTTTGAATTTCAAAATTAAAAATATTTATTTATTTTTATACTATAAATGACATGATAATTACGTGTTAATTAATATGACATTTTCTTAACAAATGACCATTTATTACCGGTCGAGTAAGTCGCATCATTTTTCTAAAGTACTACTAATTTTTTAAATTAATTCAAAATACTTAATTTTTGAATAAATTAATGTCATAAATAATCTTTATAATATTGTAAATATTATATAAATTAAATAATAATTTAAGTATTTTATTCGATTATAAAAGATTTTAAAAGTTTATTTTTAATATTAATGAGTTTTTTTTTAAGTATTAAATTGAAAAAATGGTATCATATATGATGCCAGAGAGTATTTAACTCTTCGTATTGAGGATCTTTTTTCTTATATTGCCAGTAGGGGAGAACCGGATTGTGCTCGGTGGAGTTTCAGATCTGTCTTGGAATCCAACCGAGCACGAACATCAATTTGAATTCAGACATGGAGTCACAGAAGAAACGGTCCTCAGCCGTATCGGATGTGGGAGCTTGGGCTATGAACGTTATCAGTTCTGTTAGCCTTATCATGGCCAACAAGCAGCTCATGTCGCCCACCGGTTATGCCTTCGTCTTTGGTCAGTTGCTCTTTCTTATACAACTTTCCCTTTTTTTTTTTTTCCTTTGTTCATCTCGGATCTGGAAACTTATGCTTTCTCGACCGGAATCTCCCTTCTTCTCACCTGTCACAGCATGCCAACATTGTCTTTTTTTTTTAATCTCTGGGAGATCCCATGAATGTTATATCGTTATTTTCACTGAATTTCTCAAAATTTTGATTTGTTGATTCTTATGCCTAAATGAAATTTCGAGAAAAATGGGTTCTTCCTTTTTCATCATCTTTTTGCTTTAACTTGGACCATTTTTCTGAATGCAGATGTTATCCTGTAAGGCAGGGTCAATAATGCATTGCATATTATTTTAATTTTTTTCCAGGAGATAGGAGTACTTCCTATCTGTTAAACAGAGCAGCCAATTAGCACTATTCAGAGCCAAAATCTTCCCTTTTTCATTGCCACAGATAGACCTCCAAGACCTTACTCTATCAATCATGGTGATCGCTAAAACCTCCCATTTAGGGGATGTGGGAGTCCATCTCTGCTCCAAACGAAAACCAGAGGGGATGGGTGGTCGTTTGGCTGAATGCAACGTTAATATTAACTTTCAACGATCCTTCCGCTGAACAAATCTACACCTCTGGAACCACCTCCTTTATTATTTTTCTAGTTATAAACCATGACAGCCTTCCATCCACAACCCACCCCCCTAGTCCCCTCACATGTTAAGAGCATGTGATCAACTGTTTCTTCTTCCTGCTGACAAACCAAACAGGTGGGATTATCTGTACACTTCCTTTTCCATAGATTGCTCTTTGTGGAATAGCATTTGATTTTGAACATACTCTCCAAAGAAATTCCTTAATATCGCTTGGCGCCCTTTGCACTTCAATCCTCTTTCCATACTTAGCTGCTAATTATGGGAACTAGAGGTTGACTATTGTAAACCTGCTCCATCTCCTTCCATATAGTCGTGTATTATCCTTCTTCTGTATGTGGCCAGACCATTTCATGAGAACCATTTTGATGACAGATAGGAATCTCTAGTATTGCTTCATTTTCTTTAGTAATAGGAATCTCCCATGTTTAAAGCAATATGTTTTTCAGTAACTCTTGGACAACCTAGTCCATGCTTCTGCTTGTAATCTACTTTAGTTTGATACCTTAACTTTGAAAGTTTTGAAGTTTGGTGGGATGATGGGTTGAGATAAGACTATTGATTTTCCATAATCTGAATGATCTCTTTGTATTCAATCTGAAAGTTCAAATTAATTTCTGACAATGAAATTACTATGTATTTAATCCAAATTTATCAAATCTGAGGGAGGAACCATTTTTTTTTTTCTTTTTACATTTCATAATAGTTTGTTCATCTCATCTGTAGTGGTGTTGCTAAGTGTTAGCCACTGGTCACACTGGAAAGCAGAAGATTTAAGTCCTTTGCTCTCTCTTTCTCTCTCTAAAAACATTTCCTTCTTTTACAGCAACAACGTTAACTGGGTTCCACTTTTGTATGACCGCCTTAATCGGTTTGGTGTCAAATGCCACTGGTTACACAGCAAAAAAATATGTTCCTTTATGGGAGCTTCTTTGGTTCTCAATTGTTGCCAATACTTCAATCACTGGGATGAACTTGAGCCTCATGTTGAATTCAGTTGGATTTTATCAGGTAAATGCCCTTTAGTAAATGCAAAGATCAATAGTAAGTTTCTTTCCTATCTACGTTATATTTTCCAGTGCTGATCTTCATCATCATCATTATGATTTAGATTTCAAAGCTAATCCTGATGTTTATCATTATGATACAGATTTCAAAGCTAAGTATGATTCCAGTTGTTTGTGTGATGGAGTGGATCCTTCATGGCAAACAATACTCAAGCAAAGTCAAGATTGCGGTCGTTGTGGTGGTTGTTGGTGTGGGTGTTTGTACAGTTACTGATGTTAAAGTTAACGCACAAGGATTTATTTGTGCCATTGTCGCTATCCTGTCTACCTCCTTACAACAAATTGTAAGCATTTCTCATTCTACTTATTTTTGTTTTTCTTGAAAGCATTTCTCATTTTCCACTTCAGTCACCTTATGATTACAATGCAGAATGGCACAATGCCTTCAAACCATTATAGTAGTTTATATCTAATAAATGCAGATATTTTGAAACCTTGTTTTTCATTTTAGTTTGGTTATTTAAAACATGGTTATCATGTCTCATCTACTGTTGTTCCAACTTGTCTATGTCCTGCCACAGCCCTAGTGATCTAGATTCTTGAGGATCTTTTGTATGATGTAATTCATTCTGTCGTTTAGAAAACTCTTATTTCACTTTCTCCTATCTGGTACAACATTAGAATATAAATTTTTTTCCAGCTAAATTTCGCACTAATCAATCTCTGATTCTGTTCTTCCTGTTGATTAACCATATTTGTGGGAACAGTCAATTGGCTCCTTACAGAAGAAGTACTCAATAGGCTCTTTTGAATTGCTTAGTCAAACAGCTCCAATACAAGCTCTATCTCTTTTGTTGCTTGGTCCGTTTGTAGATTACTTCCTGAGTGGCAAGTTACTGGCAAGTTATAAGTTCTCCTCAGCTGCTTTTGTAAGTACTTCTTGTCTCTTCAAAGCAAGGCAACCATTTTCACACACACACACACACACACACACACGTATATATGTTTTATGGTATTAAGACTTATGAGGAAAATACTGATGTGATTATGAAATGTGTGATTGGGAAAAATGTGCAGTTTTTCATACTGCTTTCATGCTCCTTAGCGGTATTCTGCAATATAAGCCAGTATCTGTGCATCGGACGATTCTCTGCCGTGTCTTTCCAGGTTCTAGGCCACATGAAAACAGTTTGTGTTTTGATATTGGGATGGCTACTCTTTGATTCAGAGCTAAAACTGAAAAATATACTTGGGATGGCCATTGCTGTCCTTGGCATGGTAGTATACAGTTGGGCAGTTGAGGCTGACAAGCAAACTGATTCCAAGGTTATACCACTCCGGAAAGATGCTACAGAAGAAGATGTTAAACTATTGAAGCAGCAAGTGGACGGGTCTTCTCCACTCAAGGATGTTGAGCTTGGCGGCAGGTCTCAAGGATAGATTTGTATATTTTGCCAAAAATATTGATTGATTCAATGTTTTAAGCATTGGCTGTACAAAATGTTCAATTTATTGTGTTACTAAAATTTTTTCATTACGTTCTTGATATTTCATTGTAGTGAATTCATTTCAGGATAAGATACTTTCTGATGAAAAATACTTGTTGCCCAAACTTTTTTTGTCAGCTATTTATTTAATATCAAAGTGATAACAACTTATTAATTTAATCCAATTTAAAACTCATCTATAATTTATCCAATAATTACGTTCTACGTCAAATAATATAATATAAATAACTGTGATAAAAGTGATGAGACAAGTAAAATAATTACTAATTTACTGTACAAATTAAGGTTGAAAGTAAAATTGTTTTCAAATAGTATTAATTAATAATTAGAAATAATTTGTACTTAACATTTAAAATTAATATAAAAAATATTTAAATATTTTATTAATACTTTTTAAAAATCAAGTTTATCCGGATGAATGGAACTTGAACCGATACTTGATAGTTAAAAGATCAAGTGTATTTAACTAGTACATTTTCTCTCATAATTTTTTACTGTAACTTTATAATTATTTAATTATAATAAAAATGTTATATAATGGGTCATCACTTGTAATTTTGAATTTTATATAAAATTTTAATAGATCTTATATAATTTTAAATTATAATTAATTAATTATAATTCATGATTATAGATAATATCCTCTCATCTAAGTCAATTTGAATCAACTTGTAAAATTCAATTACTGTCAACTATGAATTGTGTCGAATTTATTTAGAGCTCAAAATTATTAAAAAAATAAACCGACATAATTTAATTTTACTATTGTAAAAAAAACGAAATATTCATTTAAGACTGCTTATTTTATAATTATCTAATCATAATAAAAATTATATAAAAATTCACCATTTTATAAATATGAGCTTCTAATAATATTTTAACGAACATGCACTTGTATAACTTTAATTTTGAATAAATAAATTATAGTATGATTAATTATCGTGTTGTAATAGATACAGAGACGGAAGAACATCATAAACCAGAGAAAACAGTTACCTTAGTAGTTGGTTCTCAGTTACTTATGAACTTCGATTGCCCGTCCCACTCTGCAAAGCCCCGCCTTTCCCTTCTATGAACAAACGCCTCTCCCTCTCCCCCTTTTCCATCACCATTTCCCAATCAAAATCAAGATTCATTCCCGCTCCTCCAGCTGCCGTACCCTACTCCGATGACAAGCAAACCCTCGTGGGTCCCCCCGCAGATGATGCTGCGGCCGCCGAGGATAATTTCGACAATTCAAGGGTAATCAATGGTACCTAAAATATGTTTACCTGATGGTGCAAAATGTAAAGTGCCATGGACAGCTGCACCTACTATGGATATTCTGTCTCCTGAAATGATCATGAATAAACATGGTCTCTGAGTCCATGTATCAGAGAATTGATAGTTTTAAATTTTATATTTAGATGGAAAAAGAATCCATGCGTAACAAAGGAAAGCAGTGTTGTTAAAGTTGGCGTTTCAGAACTCGTCTTGTATGCTAAAAGTGTCAAAATTGATTCCGAGGCTTTATGTTTCCACTTTCAATTAAAAATACGTACTGCTGACCTGGTTTTCATTTTTGTCCGGGTTCATGCCTTGTATCTCTTGATTTTGACACGTTAAAGGCAGTTATGAAATGAAAATGAGGCCTGCTCTCACACATGATATAAGACAAGAGAGCGATTGGCATGACAGATTTTGTACCGATGATTTCAATTTAGCCCTGGCAAAGGTATTCTGGCTATGGATGGATCAACCTCTTTTCTTAATGAGCCTCATCAGTAGCAGGGAAGATAAATCACCCCACAGGACCATTTCTGTGCTGCGCATGGATGGAACAACTGGAAGGGCTCTGTTATATATCTTTCTCAAGCAGGGAAAAGAGTAGCCTGCATAGCTACCTTAGGATCTTGACAACTGTTCAATAGTTCACAGTTGAACAGCCCTGAAGATAAAATTTTCTGCAAGCTAGTACCATAGACAAACACGAGAAGAGAATTGTTCAAACAGGGATGAGATTCCAACATGATGTTCCATGGCTGTACAATGTGTACCATTCGAGAGCCTACCAAACATCCAATTTTGGGACAAGCATTGCTGCCATTTTACCGTCTCCAGCAGCAGCACTATCAATTGCTATAATGCACGGGACATTCTTCTCTATAATCCTTTTATAGAGCATTTCTTCTAGCACAAAATTTAAACGGTTCTGGTATCATATGATCTTCGCTTCTCGTTTTTACTTTTTCGATGGATCACATGATCTTTGTATTAATAGGGAGTAAAACAAATCAAAACCAGTATATCCATATTTGATGGTATTGCAATGATCGTTCATTTTTGCCTTTATTTTTTGAACAAAATGTAGAAGGGCGAGATGAGAATGCTACATAAACTGCTACTGCTAATCTCAAAACTGTTATGAGCTGTGAGTTCAAACTTTGAAGTTTGACTGATTAAAACTTTAGACTCTTGATACAATGGCAAGGATATAAGATATAAAGCAAAATCATTTTAGGTTTTCACAACTTGTACAAATTTAGACTGATCAAATAAACACAAAAGCTTATAACAAGACTTTTTAATAAAATTTTTTTTATGAGTTTAACAAAAATAAAAATATATATTTCACATTTTTATTATATATATGAATTATAACACGTAAGTTTTATATAAAATACAATATAAATATATAAATTATTGATATTTTACATTATCCAAAATACACAAGTCAGAATGTCAAGTCTAGCCTATAATGTTTAACAAAATGCTAATGCACTAATTACATCCAGTATCTAATTGAGAGGTTTTTGATTAGGACTTTGGGTATATCTGATCGGATGCTTTGTTCAATGTTTCTTGCTCAACTTTCAAAGTTGGTTCATCAATAGGCATAGGACTGGCATCTACAGACTGCAAAAACCAGCATCAACACAACTTTTTAGAGAGTGATATCATTTTCTCAATGTGTTAGCGTTATATAAAATCCAATTGCAAGTGTGTTTATTTCATCCTGGAGCTTGTGTTTCAAAAATTGACCTTTGTACTTGCAGTCTCATCTGTCGCATTGTCAAATCCTCTAGCTTTCTCAGCTGCTCCTTTTTGAACCTCCTGAGAGAATATAAGCCAGAATAAAAATTGTCCACCAAAATAAACTTAAAATCACATGATAAATGCCTTAAATCTCATAATCACAAAATATGACATTTATAGCATAAGGGATACCGGATCTTTTGTCTCAAGTTCAACTGCTTCGCTCTTTACTCTGCTTGGGATGGACTTACTGAATAAATATGATGGGTGAAAGGCAAAGATCAAAATAGAACACATCAGAAAGTTAGGGGTTTAAAACCCAAAAACATAATTTAAAAACAAAGAAAGAAAAATACCACCCGTCGTCAACCTCCATGTCTGAATCTTGGTCCCATCTCTCATCTCCATCATCCTGATCTTCATCAGCCTGAATATTATGAATCAAAAAGCAACTCAGTTAATGGATAAGATAAATCCGTAATAGATTTTTTTTAATTGCCTATTAGATTATTATTTTTTTAACAATCAAAGAACCTTCAAAAAAGATTTAAGCAGTAAAATGTGCAATGCCAAACATGGACACATAAAAGCATATGCGAATTATGGAAAGGATTGAAAACAGAGTGTAAAATGTGATAAATTTCTGCAGGTAGATACCATATGCAAAAGGAAGCTAGGACAAAATTTCAGCGAAGAAAAAAAAAAAAAGTAGCTGCAGAACACACCTCAGGAACCTCAGTGTCAGGTGGTATTTCTTGAAATTGGACACTTGGTGCATGTTGAAGCTTGGAGAGATTATCAAGGAGCTTATTACGTATGTCTTTGAGTAACTGGACTGAATTCTTGTTTTCCATATTACTGGGGGCAACATGAAGAGTATAATCTGGACCAAAATACTCATAATACTCATGTTGAGGCATCTTGTCATCAACTTCCATTCCAAGTGCAACTCCTGTCTGCTCAGATTGACATTGCCATTACTAAAGTAATCCACCACAAGCAAATTACAAATAGTTCTTCCAAATTTCAGAACACAACTATTTTATGGTCAAAGAAGAAAAAGAACGAACCTAAGTGTTATTTTATGAAATATACAACACAGAGGCATTACCAAGAAAGGAATGAGAAGAAGAGTGTTTAGTCGCACCAAATGCTAAAAGTTCTTAGTATGTACATGACTTGAGAAGTAGAAAGGACCAATAGCATTCATAAATTTAACACTAACTGTTTTGTATCTTCCAATGAAATTACTACCTCTTGCTTTATCATGAAATCCAAAAACTGTAGAGCTTTTTTATAGCGATTAAAGTGGAACAACAACAATTAAGCACTATTATTTGGACATCTTCCAACTTAAATAACACAGAAGAGAGAAAAGAAAAAAGAGGGGGAAGGGCGACAAAAAGTTGACCTCAAAGTCAAATTTACCGTTTATTAACATTAGATAAAAATAACCAAGCAAATCACTTAAACCAGTCAGCATATATTAATCATTTGAAGCTGTAAGAGGTCGGTTACCTCATAGCACCAACAGCGAGCAACATTGCGAATGGTATAACCACCACCACCCAGTAGCAACAATGGAACATTAAATGATCTCATAAATTTAACACACTCTGCATGACCCTTGATTGAAAGATTGAAACATCCCAACCTATCTCCGGATAGGGAGTCAGCACCACACTGAAGGATGACGGCACCAGGCTTAAAAACTTCCATAACTTTACCAATAATTGGCTTAAACAAGTAATGGTAACTCTCATCATCAATTCCATCATCCAAAGGAACATTAAGGGAATAGTATTTCCCTTTAGAATATCCAATATCACGTATATCCCCTGTACCTGGAAAATAATCTCCAAATTTATGAAATGAAACAGTCATGACCCTATCAGTTGTATAAAATGCCTCCTCCACACCATCTCCATGGTGGATATCAATATCAACATATAAAACACGCTGCAAGAAAGAGCAAGGAAAAGTATTATCAGTGACAAACTATACAACATAAAGTTGTTATTAGTGAAAAAAAAAACCATAAATTTTTACACCCTAGGAGGAAATGTAGAATTAAAAAATTAAACCAGTCATTTAGTTCAAATAAACAAACATTTATATTTATTATTTCATGCCTACTATAACAACTGTTTATTATTTCATGTCTAATATAACAACCATCTTCAACGGTTGTCAATTGTCGATGATACATCATA